ATCATCTGGAGTATGGGGACTTATGGTTGGTTGCTGAAACCCACTTTTATGGCAAAGATGTTTCACGATTTCGAGCTGGGCTGTGTGCCGCCCAATCAGCTCACAGGTATTGTCTCACTGATCAAACTTCGGTTCGCAAAAGCCTTACCACGCAGACATCCTGGAAGGGAGTTGGCATTTTGTCGCGGTTTCCCACCAGAGCTTTGCCTTCTGCTATGCCCATGCATGTTCAGGATTCGGGTCGATGTTTGCTTTTCACCACCCTTTTGGGAGATGTGTGGTTGTCTGGCGGAGTGGTTTATGGAGAACCTAACTCTAGTCATTACCCCTCCTACCTCAAGAACAATGAGCAGATTTTGCATCATGTTGCCTCACATGTCTGTCACCTTTGCAAAGGGCCACGGCTGGTCGCTGGAGACTGGAATGTTGTACAGGATAGTCTGCCTGTTTTTTCCATGCTGGCCAATGCGGGGTTTAGAGACATCCAAGATGTTGCCTTGGAGCGCTGGGGCTGCCCAGTACAGAACACGTGCAAACAACGGACGAGGAAAGATTTCTTGTACTTGTCCCCTGAGCTTCAGGAGCTGTTATTTGCAACTGATGTGCGTCATGATGTCTGGCCAGACCATTCAGTGCTGGTTGGTACGTTTCATGCCCCTTGCTGTGCTCCTCCTATGTGGGTGTGGCCCATGCCTGACCAATTTCCATGGCCAAATCAGTTTGCGCATGATCTCCAATGGCCTTCTGAACCAGGTGATTTGACTGTGGCGTATGCTGAGGTTTGGCAGCAGATTGAAACTAGTGCGCAGGCACAATGTCCTATCCCTGTCTCTCGCAACATGCTTGGAAGGGCAGCACGTCGCATGCCCAAGAAAGTGCGTGGTGGCCTTTTTGCTCCTGTGAAGTTGGCTCGCAAAGGTGATTTTCAACCTGAGTTCTTTGGCTCGTCGGTCAGACACTCTCAGTGGTTGCGACAGGTCAGAAGACTTCAAGCTTATGCACGCATGACTGGCAGCTCTGCCACCCATATTAGCATTGCTAAAGCCGAAGCTTGGGGAGCCATTGTCCGTGCAAAAGGGTTTGTACCCAGCTTTGCTCAGTGGTGGTCATGTTCTGCTTTCAAGACTCATGAGGCCCCCATGGCTTGTCCAACCTTTCCCCCTGAGGGCAATGTTGCTGTTGCGATGTTTGAATCCCTTAGCATGGCCTTGAGAGAATTTGAACGGGAACTACGTGCCTCTTCCAGACAATATGCCAAGTTTAGGAGGGCTCAAAATCCGAATTTGGTTTTCCAAGATGTTCGTCCACCTGCGGTACCAGGGGTTGACGTTTTGCTGCAACCTATCCGGGCCGTGGTGGAGGAGGTCGACATCGAAGAGCAGAAGTTGGTGTTGGATCATGCATGTGAGTTTCAGCCGGATGGAGTTCTCTCTTGCAAGGGTCAGCCGCTGGATGTTATTCACCAATCTGAGGATGCCATTTGGGCCACCGATGTCTCCTTTGTTTCGGTTGGGGATGAAGTCTCTCAAACGAAGTTTGTTGGCAGACATGAAGACTTGGCTGCAATTTTCATAGGTGTCTGGAGGGACCGTTGGATGCGACACGTCGACGTGCCTCATGAGAGATGGACTGCAATCATCTCCTTTGTTAAACGTTTTTTGCCTCGCCTTGATTTGCAATGGCCTTCCATGACAGTTCATGATTTCAAGCAGGTGCTTCAACACAAAAAGAAAACCACCTCACCAGGCTTTGATGGTGTGACATTGCTTGACCTCAGAAGGATGCCTGATCATGTTCTCCAGGTCTTTTGTAGCATGTACTTGCACTCTGAGAAGACTGGTTCATGGCCGTCCCAGCTTGTGGATGGGCGTGTTATTAGCCTTGCGAAGGTGTCTTGTCCAGGGTCGCCAGCGGACTTCCGTCCCATCACTGTCTTTAGCCTTCTTTATCGGGTTTGGAGCTCATTTCATTCCAAAAAGGCTTTGTCTCAGTTGGATTCTGCATTGCCTGATACCCTTTACGGTGGTCGTCCTGGACGCTACGCAGCCCAAGTTTGGTCCAAGCTGCTTTGGTCTGTCGAACACTCTTATCAGCAATCTGTTGAGTTGACAGGGGTTGTTGCCGATTTGCAGAAGGCTTTCAACATGCTTCCTCGGATGGTGGTATTTGAAATTGCTGGTCATTTAGGCCTCCCTGGGCACATGCTCTTGGCATGGGCAGGTGCTTTGACTCAAATGAAGCGAAGATTTTTGCTTCGAGGATCACTGACTGAAGGAGTTCCGAGCGTCACTGGATTTCCCGAAGGCTGTGGGTTAAGTTGTGTTGCGATGGTCCTGATCGACTTTGCATTTCATGTGTGGCAGCAGCACTTCTTTCCACTGTGCACTGCGCTGTCATATGTCGATGATTGGCAGGTCTTGTGTCCTCATGGCTCCATGCTGAGTGGGGCAAAGCAGTGTTTGGACAGATTTGTGGCTGCTGTTGACCTGCAGTTGGATCCCAAAAAGACGTATGCCTGGTCCATCACCCCTGCTGGACGGAAGCTTCTGCGTGATGAGGGCTTTACGGTAGTTCTGGCCTCCAAAAACTTAGGAGCACATGCGCAGTTTTCCAAAAAGCACACGATTGCTACTCTTACTGACCGGGTCCATGCTATGACTGGCTTGTGGCCACGATTGCGATTGTCAGCCAGTGGCTACCGCACCAAAGTACGGGCATTGCTTGTTGCGGCCTGGCCGCGTGCGCTTCACGCCGTAGCTGCCACTGCAGTTGGGGATGCTGTTGTCCACTCCCTGCGCACAGGTGCAGTTAAGGGCCTTGGGGCTGATGGTGCGGGTTGCAATGCTTGGCTGCAGTTAGGCATGATTGAGAACCCATTGGTTGATCCGGGGTTTTGGTCCATTGTGCAGACCATTCGTTGTGCTCGAGATTGTGGGGATGCGGCTCAAGTGGCTTCGGCTTTGTCTGCCTTGACGTCCTCATCAGCCGGTATACCTGACAACTGCATTTCTGTTACCCTGTTGTCTCGCTTGCAGACTTTGGGTTGGCACATTGACGAGGGTGGACGGATTCATGACGTGTTTGGCAGGTTTTCCTTGTTTGATGCATGTATGGCGGAAGTGGCATTTCGTGCTCAGTGGGCATGGCAACATGTGGTCTCTGAACAAGTTAAACATCGCCCTGGGTTTAAAGATTTGCAGTATGCTGATGCCATGGACACCCGTGTTTTTCTCAAGGCCCTTCCAGTGGATGAACAGGAGCTTTTTCACAAATGTCTTAATGGTTGTCACATTACGCAGGACGGTAAATCACACTGTCAGGAAGATGGCTCTACTCTTTGCCCCTTCTGCCAGTGCAGTGATTCCAGATTCCATAGATTTTGGGTGTGTGAAGCATTTGCCTCTGAACGTGCTGATGTCCCTGCCGATGTTTGGAAGTTGATTCCTGGTGCACCAGATTACCTAACTGGGTATGGATGGAGTGTGCGGCCATACACCCTGTTTTCCTGGTATCAATGCCTTGCGTCCATTGCTGTTCCAGAGGTTGATCCCGTGGTTGACACTAGTGCAGACATTCATTTGTTCACAGATGGTAGTTGCCTCAACCAGGCATTTCCTACTTGTAGGCTTGCTTCTTGGGCAGTTGTGATTGCCGCATGTGATGACACGGGCTGCAGGCTTTTGCAATCAGGTCCACTGCCAGGTATGCTACAAAGCTCCTACAGGGCTGAAATTTTTGCCATCCTGCAAGCGTTGAAACTGATGCGCCTGCAAAAAGGGAAAAATTTTCTGTGGAGTGATTGCAAAGCAGTGGTGTCCCGCGTGCACCGCCTTTTGCGGGGAAGTGAACCCAAACCAAACAGTGCGCATTCTGATTTGTGGAGGGAAGTGTTTGAGTGTTTGCAGGACTTTTCTCCTGGTCAGGTTGAAATTTCCAAGGTTGCTGCTCACCGGCGGGTGGCTGATGCGCTGTCTCCATTGGAGGAATGGTGTGTGGTGCACAATGGCTATGCTGATCAGGCGGCATGTTTGGCTCAGTGGTCTCGACCCCAGGAGTTTTGGAACTTGTTCGATCAACATGTCAATGCCACTATTGCATGTATGCGGTTTTCACGTGTTGTGCAGAATGTTCTTCTGCGCATCAGTAAAGCAGTGATAAAGGCTGAGTCTGAACCTGATGGTGATGAAAGGGCTGATGTTGGGGCTCCTGCAAGTGTCCCACCTGGTACATGGCGTCCCTTGGCGCTGCTGCATATTCCCTCTCAAGCTGTCAAATGGTATGGAGACTCAGTGGTGCGAACTATCCTTTCTTGGTTTTGGCAGGCTACTTTTGATAGCTCTTGGGAAATCATTTGGGTTTCGCAGTTTCAGCTTTATTTGGATTTTCAGATGTCTGGAGAGCATGCACCTACGAAGCTGAATGGGTGGGATGATGGTAAAAACACACCGCACTTGGACCTTCTTGCCATCCCCTTCCAGACCCGCGTGCGATGGTTTTCCAAAGTTCTGAAAGAATCACTTCGTCATCATGGACAAGGGTGTGCATACTCATATTGTAGACCCTTTTCACAATCCCCCTTTCTTCATACTGGCTGCTTGGCGGTGCCTTGGTGCAAGCACCGTGTCAGGGCAGTTGATGAGTGGATTCTGAAATTTAGTCCAGGCGGTGTCTTTCGTTGCTCCAAAGCTATCGAGAACCTACCTATGGCCATGCGTGATCACAGATTTCCATTGGTGTTGCTGACATCTGTTTAGTGGCACCCCACATGTGGGCCGCCAGCGTGAGACTCTGACGGCGCTACCGATAAAGTGGGATAAAGTGGTGGTTTGGAACATTTTTTATTTTCCATTTCATATATGGGATAATCCTTCCCATTGACTTTCATATTTTTCAAGATGGTGAAAACCACCAACCAGTTGTTTAAATCATGTGAAATCTCTCAGAACTCTGTGACTCAAACCCTTGAACCGGGGCGGGATAGGCCACCAGGGCGATGCCAGGCTTGAAGACCTGGAGGAAGGCTACTTCGAAGGCGAAGTGAAACAACTGGCCCCCGTTAAATGGGGCCCCATGTTTTTGTGATAGGTCTGGGTAAATTATAACGACCTCACTGTTCTCCCTCACTATAATCATAGTTAGTAAGGGGAATCATCCCAAAATGGCCTTATTTCAGGTGTCGCCACGACCTCAATATCCACATCAAGCTAAGGTAACTGACTTTGTGACAAAAAACCTCACAGGACGGAAAGCATACGACAGCCCTTTCCTTGCGGAATGGCTGCGACCTAGAGCACAGGAACTTCTGGATCAGGATTGGCTATCCATTTGTGATGGCTTCAAATACACACGGCGAGCGTCAAGGGCAAGAAAGTTGAGGGAACATCAGCCAAGCTGATGCATTTTATAGTGTTTCCTGCCTAATCGGCAGAGAGCGATGGACATCGAGCTCGCGTTTCGCTGCTGCTGGACGCGGGCTCTTTTGGGAAGGAAAGGGGCCTTATTTCAGGTTAGTGAAATATTATAATTTACCCAGATAGGTCTGATGGGGCATCATTTGATGGCTATTTATTGATATTTCGTCTCAAAGTTTACGCATTTTACCATAATGAATTGGTCGAAGACACGAGCAAAAACCGTGTCTTATCATCTTATCCACCCAAAAATGAGATTCAAGAAAGAAAACATAAGAGTGAACCAACAAAAAATGGTAATAACATGTAATAACGTGTGATAACCAAAAAGGCAGCCATCAAATATTGGATAAACAGCAGCCGAAAATTGGGGACTTGACCAAAGCATGGATCACCACTGACCTCGCCGCGGGATGAAAACATGGTGTTCTCATTGAGTTTGGTGATTTTCCCCAGCTTTTTGACGCTTCATTTTTGGCATTTCCCAGCTGCATGTTTTGATGAAACCGGAGGGTAAATCATTCCGTTGATATTGAGGGAACTATCGACAGTAGATTTGACAACTTATAAGTTGCTACTGGACATGGCCATGCTTGTATTACGAAAAAGATCGAAATCGTCCGGGCTCAAAATGATCTAAATACTATATACATATATAGAGTACCAAAAAATGGAGAACCTGGGCAAGGAAATTCGCAACTTTGTTCAAAACCTTGAATTGGACATGTTTATTATGCGTTATAGCAGGGAATGACCAACCTGGCTTCAAACGTCACTGCTGACTTCGGGACGGCACATGCAGCGGTCGCAGGTGAAGAGGAGGCAGACTTCGTGGAAGATGCAGAAGAGGTGAATCATCAAAAGCGCTGTTGGTTGATGGTTGGAAATGTTAAACAGCAAATATGGAGTTTAACCATGCTATATATGGTAACATTTACCATCAATATACCCCAGTCATGTTAGCATATATACCAGCACCATGGATCCTATGGGTATGAAAGTATAGGGATAATTAGTTATAGTTGAGAGATAACGAGTTGATATGGTTTAATTGGGTATGGGGATGGGAATGTTACCAATCAACTATGGGCGTAAGCTTTAACCTTAAAAAAATGGAAAGTCATCTCCATATTTGCGAACTGTTATCCCCATATTAAATCATTCTATTTCATTGTGGGAAAGTTAACCATCAAAGATCCGAGATGATACAAGAATAGGGGAATATAATTGATATATAACGGTTTGATAGGATAGGCGTGCTGTCCTTTTTGGGGATGCGCAGGAACCGTGAACAATCACAGATATGAGGATCTACTGCGACCTATTATTGATGGTTCATCGTTGATGATCATCCGTTGTCGGAATCCCAAGAACCAGTTAAGACTCCGGTTGCCCAAGGTAAAGCCAGCAAAGCCCACAGAGTCTACAAGTGTTAGATGGTTCACTCTGATAACTTGAACTCAACCGTCTGAAATGATTGTTTTGTTGATACCAGGCTAAATTTCAATTGAACTTTCATCGGCATTCATCGATGTCAAATGAGACCATTTTTCAGAAAAATCCCCAAAGGTCCAATTTGACCTGCCATGCGTTGATCTTGAATCTCCAAGCAAAAAAAATCCCACCTTCCGATCGACGCCAGGAGCCCGAGGTGCACAGCGAGGTGCACAGCGACGCCACCTCTCCCGCAGTGGCCGACGAAGAAGCGCCGGAAGAAGCGCCGGAAGAAGCTCCGGCCGCGGAGCCGGTAGAGCCGGTGGAGGATGGAGTTGGAACTGATGGCGAAATGTAGCGAAATCCACCAGTGGGCTACCAATCCTACCTGTAAGATCTGTAAGGACAATCAGCCGGAAAACTAAAAGATGGCCCAACAAAAATCCCCTGATTTTTTTTTGCCATGATTCACAGATATTAAAAAGATTTTTTAAAAAAAGTGTTGAAGCCGATGTGACGAAAGAGTCAAAAGACTCAAGACAACCGGTGGATGAGTTGCAAGCATCCACAGTATGGTTTCCCCAAAACACAACTTGATACTTGGTGGTTTCCCCAAAGCCAAACAGGGTGTGTCTGAAATTGTTGGAAGAGTCACATAATTAACGGTTGGTTGGTGGTTTGGATCATTTTTTTCCATAATAATATATTGGATAATCCTTCCCATTGATGAAGTCCATCATTTTCAAGATTGTTTTTTAACCACCAACCTTTTCCGGCCATTGAATGGGGAGCATGATGATAAACCATTGGATTCTTGGGAGTCCTATTTTCAGACAAGACCAACCAATCTGTATTTGTTCAGTGCCCCGCAGGAACCTGTCGAAGAAGCAGCACCAGCAGTGACAGAAGAAGCACCAGAGGAACAGGACGCGGAGCGGGGAACACCTGGGGTGTTGGTGAATGGTCGGTGACTCTTGGCCATTTGGAGACATATCTGACATTGTTTTTACCACAGGAAGGGTTTTCCAGTGGTGTTTCTTGGCGACCCCATCTAACTAACTATAGTCTTATCATGTCTTATCATTTTATTCATCATAAATACTTGTCAGCCTCTTTATCAACAAACTTTCCTATCTAATGTCTCTTCCTGTGGGATTTAAGTTCTGAATAGGGTACCTGAGTTTGCCATGGCTGCAGAGAATGAATGAAATAGGGCATCGCCCCAGAAACCCGTCGCGTTCAGAACTGAAAAAAATCATTATCATGCTTCATGGGTCATTAAATGTCCCCATTGAACATCACCCAACCATTAGGTATATGGTCTATAATGGCTACTATAAGGTGATGTCCAATATACCCAAAATGGTACAGTTACCAACCCCTGTTCTTCATAGCCACCCCAAAAAATAAAAGTAATTAATCACCATTTGCAGGATTTGACTTGTCTATCTTGTTGTGGGCTGCTGACTTTTTCTTTTGTGTCTTGTTGCCAAGACATTTTTTTGCGTTTTTTTTTTTAAAGGTTTGTGATGCACTAGCTTTTGGATAATGATTCATATCCCAAGATTACCATAGATTACCCCTATCTTGGGATTGCGGAAATCGAACATGGCAATGGACAATCCATCATTTCGATGTGTTTTTTCTCGAATTTCAATGCCCAAATTTCGTTCGGGCAAATCCCAGCCAGTTCATGCCAGGATCCCTTGTTCAAGGCCTTACCCCGCGGTTCGGGGTGGTAGGTGTCCATGAAAAATGGAAAAATGGTGATATGGTGTAGATTTTTTTGGGATATGATGGGGATTCGGATACCAATCCATGGTTGGAAAACCCTCTGGTAGGGCTCAGAATCTCACTAGAAATGGTTAGAACCGGGCAAGCCTCCATGTATTACTGGTCGTTTGCGGTCCGCAGGTGTTTGGTTATCAAGCAGGTAGAACTTGGGAGGAATGATGATTGAAAACGGTGTGAAACTATGGAAATGTGGTCTCTAGGGGTCAAAAGAGCTACTTTGACATATCTTTGACAGAAATGTCGACAGGTGGCAGGACACCTATCAGAGACACCCACCAGGCAGCTGCCGATAGCGTGAAAGAGGAAGGCTGGGTGACGATGGGCTGCGTCTTTTCAGGATACAACCTGGATCTTGGGGCTAAACACCAGCTGTCAAGGGTGTTGTCAGCTTGCAAATGGGAGGGGCGGCATCCACAAAAATCTTGGTAGTTATCTTTAAACTTAGACCCGGTTGGTGCAATCTAGTTGACTCGGTGTTCAGAAACTCTTTGGTGCCCAAAAAATGATCCAAAAGAAACGTTCACTGAACTCTCAGTTGATCATGTTGGGGATAGGGCCGGGGATCACAAAATGTGTCCCGAAACCTGTCCTTTCACATCTTTTCACCTGTTGATTTCTGCCATTTTGTGCTACTGAAGCTTGACCCAACGAGGGCCCCGTCTCCTATCGCCACTTTAGTGACGTTTCTCGATAGTGCGCCAGTTGAGACCGAAGTGCCTGGATCAGCCGAGGCGACCACGACGGGCGGGTTTGGCAGCCGTTAAACCATGGGATTTTCTGGGAAAATCCAGGTTTTGTGTTTTACATCTTGGCGAAATCCCCACCAGATATAGGAATTAAATGATATTAAAGGTACTTATCACCACAAAAAAAAAGATAGACGAGTAAAATCTGACTTGAGTGATGGTTGATTTTTCGGCGCTTTAGGGATTGCTATAACCATATAGGTTTATTTATTTATTTATTTATTTATTTGTTTTTATAATTTTCAGTTTCCCAAAAGCAATGGGATTTGCCACTTTAGATTTGCAATGTGGTCATGACTTGAGATTTTTTCCCCACCTGCCAGGTGAGGGTTGTTAGATTTTATGTCAGTTGCCTCCTCCTGCCTCGTCCTCCTCCTCCTCCTCTCCTCCTCTCCTCCTCCTCCTCCTCCTCGTCGTCCTCCTCCTCGTCGTCCTCCTCGTCGTCCTCCTCGTCCTCCTGCTCAACCGCGACCCTCGACGCACAGTGTTCTCTGTCGGACCTCAACCACGACCATCCATGCTCAGTGTTCCCTGCCGGACCTCAACCACGACCATCCCCGCCCAGTGTTCCCTGCCGGACCTCAACCACGACCATCCACGCCCAGTGTTCCATGCCGGACCTCAACCGCGAGTATCCCCGCCCAGTGTTCCCTGCCGGACCTCAACCACGACCATCCACGCCCAGTGTTCCCTGCCGGACCTCAACCGCGAGTATCCACGCCAAAAGATATGCCACATAGAGTGCCAGAAGATATGCCAGATAGAATGTGAGAAGATATGCCAGATATGCCAGAAGATATGCCAGAAGGCCAGAACATCTGCCAGAAGATATGCCAGAACATCTGCCAGAAGATGTGCCAGGTAGAATGCCAGAAGATATGCCAGATAGAATGCCAGATCGAATGCCAGAAAATATGTCAGATAGAATGCCAGAAGATTTGCCAGTAACAAAATGTATAAATGTCATGGTGGGGATCACACGAAGTAAAGTAATTCTATTTGGGGATGGATCCAGTCGTCTTTTCATAGCTGTTTTTTGGGGAGGAGGAACATCCAATGCCATGTTTGTCAGACATATTTTGACCATTTTCGACCCGCCATCTGAAAGGGCGATGACATGCTTGTGACTGTCGGAGCCCAAAAACCTTGCGACTGTCTCGAACCATCAACATAATTAGATGTGAAAGTTGCATGTTCGATACCGCCGCACCATCATCATCATCATCATCATCATCTTTTTCTTCTTCATCTTCATCATCTTCATCTTCATCGTCTTCATCACATCATTTTCACATCAGCTCATCATCAGTAGCACTCTCATCATCATGCTTTTCATGATCCTCATGATCATCATGATGTCCTTCTTATCATAGTTGTCATGATCATCATGAACCAGGTCCAACAGACCTTCTAGATGAATTGTAGCGGCCAGTGTAGTCAATGGAAACTATCAACCCGTGTGAAGTTCCGTGAGCGCTATTGGCCCACCCCACCCTAAGCAAGAAATTTGCGCGTCGTGGCCAGAACGGTGAGATGCATAGAAATGAGAAAACCGAAAAACCGAGGACACGAGAAAAAACGAGAACACTGAAAAATGGAGAAAGCCGAGAAGTAAGGAGAAGCAAAGATGTGACAGTCGCAAGTGAGTGGTCTGCCATCTGAAATGAGGTTTTTCGGCGGATCTTGGTACCAAAGTGTGACGAATAGAGATCATGGACATGGCGGACACGGGTCAGACCCAGGTCCTGAATCCAAAAAAGGGATAGTTTATGTTGGCCAAAAAATAGTGCTGCACATCTTGGGTGGGCCTGACTTGCAGCATCCACGACAAGTCTCTTTGCTGAGTCTCCTCATTTTCGATACCAAACAACATGAAGCAACTCCAAAAACTATAGTGGGACACCTCTAAAAATTATTGGATGTTTACATGTATGTAAAATGTAAACATCATCAACAGATATCAACAGAACATCCTGGAAAAAACACATGACATGACAAAAACAGCACCACGCCAGGAACGATGGCAGATGATGAGTCGCAGTCCTTCCAGGTGGCGGCAAACGGAATGATGGAGATTCGAGATGACACACTTTTAAAGCCATATATATCATATAACAAGAAACCGTTGTGATATATTAGTATAGTATACCCAGATGCTCCATGTATGGTATATTTACCTACAAAACTGGGTGATTTTAGGGCAAATGTTGGTAAATATTCCATACATGGAGCATATGGGTATTAGTATAGTATAGATTAATTAGTAGATATTCATAGAATGTCATATATATATACATATATTATATAACGATATAATTAGGATAGAATTGGGATATTCTTTGGGCGATAAACAGGATTTAGTGTAATGTATTCTGGGTACGTGGCGATCTCAGGTCTTCAAGTTTGAGATTGTTACTGATTTATCAATATGATTTCACCCTATTTTACTTAAGATTATATAGATAAAATAAATATGATTATGGTCACCCATTTAATTATTCATTATAAAATATCATATTTATTGGTCACCATATTTATCAATATCATTATATATTATGTGATCAATTTGACCAATTTAATTATTGGTCTAATATAAGAATAACATTGCCCAATCAGTCCAAAGGACACGTTTAGCGAAGCCGTTTGAATAAAGGACCTAAATGACTAAAGGCCTCAAACATACCTTGAACAAATTCACAACTTTTGCACCGTAGGGTAGAATGACTGTAATTCAGAATTGCGATGAAATACACTCTGGTAAACATACAAAAAGCTATTGAAAATGGCCATAGAAATAGTGGATTTACCTATTAAAAATGGTGATTTCCCACAGCAAACTGTTAAATTACCAGAGGCTACCGTGGTGATGACAACTCCTGGTGACAGTCGTCCTGGCTGCAGAAGGCGTCGAC